TTGGACGATCATTCCCTTCATCCACTCTTCAGTTGACACATCCAGTTTTCATATGCTCTCGCAAACTTGATCAATCCCACTGATCTGACCAAGCATTCATCTCCGTTGTTCACCTTCTAGCTTTGGACCGTGTGGACCGATGAATAGCCATTCAGTTTTTTGTCGTGGGTGATGCACAAAGAATGTCCAGTTGTAGCTGTGGATGTGGAAGTGTCTTGTACAGAACTGTTCGGTCCAGTGCTTCCTTGGCTGACGGCATCATGCAAGGCGCCGATTTTCTTGTTGTGTGACAAATATGAAGACCATATGTGTTTCCCCGGTGTTATTAAGAGTCGCAGTTTGTTTAAATGGAATTTTCCAGTCGCACAACTGCCGCTTTCCTTAATTCAATGTCGTAAGTAATTAAACCGTAGTGACCAAGAGCATAGTTTTCGCTTTCTTTTTTGTGGTTATTATTGAATTCTGTTTTTTTTTCTCTGTGTATTCTAAAAGTGAACTTTTTTATCGTTTGGTTCAAGAAGTAAATTTATGAACCACCAATTTGATTGAAATAATTCCTTTTTCATGAATTAGTTACTTGTGCTGAAAATGTTAGAGACTTCTAACCTCCAATGAAATCGGCACATTTTCACGATCATCTTCTTAATCAGTTGTATCCAGGTTCTTGGCCGAGTTTATGTCTAGTTTTCATACAGAGCACAGGCAAAAACAAGCTACCTTATTGCGCATCTGTCGTAATTGTAACTCGTGTTTTGGTCGTGGACGACGGGAGCGAGAGGTTGCAGTTCGGGAACTGCAGCATGATCAGTGCTGAGAAAGCTTATTTGTTTGTAACGTGCGATATTTATGTCCTATTCCACAGAAAACACATTAACAACGCTGTATTCGTTCTTTTCAAATTTTGGTAAATTTGGTTGATCGTTTAGCGGCTATTGTGTCTAACACAATGTCGAATGCCAAGTAGTTGTGCGACTGCAATTAAGTTATAGGCAAGAGTAAGGCATGTTTAACCAGAATAAGTAACCATATAATTTTATAACCACATTATATATAGTTTTATTTTACTGCCAATAGTTGACAATTTTTTTTCATCTACGACCAGTCTAAACGTCGACAGCTGAAGCAGTCGTTGCCAGTCTTAACCGTAGCTGCTGAATTTAGGTTGATCTGTGTCATCCGTTTGCTATCTTTCATCGGAGCGCTGATTGGCCTTCTAGCTGGTGTCTCGATCCGACGGCCGGTGTCAACGGTGAACGGTTGAAATTGATGCCTTGCAAAAACGAAATCGAACCCAAGTTCATCGCTACAAAGAGGACTAGTTCACTGGGTAAATCCAGCACAACATTGCTGTCATGACGATTTCTCTTTGCGTATTTAAGCGCTGATCAACTTTTATTTCCTTATCACTGATATTTTGTCTTGATCCTCATTTTGTTTGTTGGTTTATCACAATCACCTTATTTTCATGCTTTTTTCGTCGTTTTCTGTCGTCCCCATCATGATTACTGTATCCCCCATCGTCCCCAATATTATAATCATGATTTCATTAACTATAATTGTCATGGTCAGCAAAGAGATCGTGTCTTTATCATGTTTGTCATAGTCGTTATCACTATAATATACATAATCGTATAATGCCATCAGTGCTTGTTGATAACGTTTGATATTTATCCCCTCTTTGCATCCGTATAGACTTGCAACAACGAGTTTATAAACTTTGCAGTGGTTTTTTTTCTAAGTCTTGTGTTCTTGTCCAACGGTTTCCTTTCCCAGTGCCCTCTGTGCCTTACAGCAGCTGCTTCAGCCCAGTACGATTTCATTTTCGATACATCGCCAATCGCGTGATCCCATGCGCTGGGTCAACTATATCGTGTCGTTACCGTGTTTTCTGTGATATGTTTCCATATTTCATAGTCAGAGCCCAGGTTTCGTGTATTTAAATTAAGAGCAAATATTATTAAATGATTATGTGATATATGTGATACTCAGTATATGTCAGTAAACACCTTTTCATCGATGATGTTAGATACGGATGAGCAGAAGCCTTTTCTGTGCGATTTGCTGGACAATTCAAACAGTGACACTATCGGTTCGGACGACCAGAATATGTTGCAGTGTTACCTTGTGAATATCGAGGACAGAATCCTGTTTTCTAGCACATCATCGCTGCTTCTTCTGTCTGTCCAGTTCGACGGCGAGATACTGCTGGGAGAGACCAACGTTCACTTCTTCGGCAAGGCTGTTGTCCAGCCGAAGTGTGGTTCCGGTCCAGATGGAGATGCAAAACGCAATTTCTCCGTCTTTTGGCGTTACGCGGACATTTGCGAGCTGCACTGTCGATACTTCCAGTTAATTGACTGCGGACTAGAAGTTTTCCTGACGTCGCAGCAGTCTTACTTTTTCGTTTTCGATAGCCCTGATGCTCGCAACGAAATTCTTGTGCGCGTCCAGCAGATGCCTCTACC